CGGCGGCGGACAGCGGCGGCGGCGGTGGCGGCGGCGCGGCAGCAGCGGCGACGGGCGGCGGCGGCGGCGGCGGCGGTTTGGCCCCCAGTAGCCGCCCATTCAAAGACGACTGCTGCAGATGCTGCGGTTCGGGCCAGGCCCGGGTGCTACGTGTGTGTTGGGATGGCGGGTGGGTGTGAGCGAGGGCGCGGAGGGGGACACTTGACCCCTCCCCCATACACCCTCCCCTGGACCTGGACGGACATTTTCGCGGGTAGCTGGAACGTCCAAAACGGCCTCGGCGAGGAAACCATCATCACTGGTTTAAGTAAAAAGTTGGCCCCTTTATTTGCCTTCTGGGGGGGCAATTAGGGAACACCCTTCTTTGACCGATCTCCTCCGAAATGGCCCCAAGAGCCCTCCCAAGGCTCCCAAGGGTGCCCCAAGAGGGCTCCAAGAAGTGACCAGGAGGCCCCAAGAGGCCCCCAAGAGGCCACCAGGATGCCCCCAAGAAGCTCCCGAGAGACCCCCAAGAGACCCCCAAGAGGCCCCCCAGAAGCACCCAAGACGCTCCAAGAGGCCTCGGCGAGAATGCTAAACTTATTGATGTTACTAGAGTTTTGGCCACATGTTGGCCTCCTGGGTGTGGGGGCACTGATTAAGACGACTCCAAAAACGCCTGGGAGAGCCCAAGATGACCTCCAAGATGGGTCAAGCTATCCCAAGATGCCTCAAGGTGGCTCCCACGATGCTCCAAGAGGCCCAAAGACAGCCCCAAGACGGTTCCAAGCGACCAAAGAGCTGCCCCAGGAAACCCCGAAGAGGCCCAAATCCGTCCAAATCCTTATGACACAACCGTGTTTTTAGCTGTCTCCCCTTTTCGCTTCCGATGGCCATCCGAGGCCAGCCCCAAGACGGCCCCAGAGCACATAAGAGCGCCCCAAGAGCGCCCACGAGGCCCCAGGAGGCCCCAACAGGCGCCCAAGAGGCCCCAAGAAGCTCTTCGAGGCACCCTAGACGCTCCAAAAAGCGTCCGGGGCCGCCAAGAGGCCCCCAATACGCTCCAAGATGCCTCCACTGGGGGGCCCTTCCTCTGTGCTGCCCAGTTCCCTGATCGAGGCAATTCCTGTGGGCATCGTTTCTGGATGGGCTGGTGGGGTTACTTTTTTCTCGCGGGCTGACGCGTAAAGCTGTCGCCGAAGGGGAGGTCCGGGGCACAGTCCTGCGTAATTAACTACCGAGCCTCGCGCGAGAGACAGCCGGGCCAGCACTCAAAAACGGCTGCCGGCGGGGCTGCAGCTGAGGCGGAGCTGGCTGTGCAGTCTGCGGACGGCCAGGGTAGCTGGTGCAACGTGCGTGACGGAGGCTGATAGAGGCCAAAGTGAAATTAAGTCCTGCACGCCAGGAAAGCATGATCGGGTCTGTACCTGCAACCACGCATCAAACTAGCAAAGCGCCTCCACTGCCGGGCAACCCAATACGCGGCGCGCTACCAGGAACGAGGAGCTGGAAGCCACGCGTTCGAGCTCAGGTACCATGGACAACTGGTGGGGTTACTTTTTGGTTAGCGGCCCGCAAGGAGAAGTCCAGAGGGCAGTATGACCGAGGCTGGGTCACAGCGACAGATAATTGGCGCGAGAACGCGCGAAGTGCACCTGCTAACAAATTAGGAAGAGGGGCGGCCACAATTGGGCAACCAACGAGCACAGGCCAACCCACAGGTGGGGCCGGACCGATACCCTGCCGGAGGCACGCAGACCCGAGCAAAAGCCGCTGGGCTCGTGCCAGCAAAGGAGGGCGGCCGCGGATGGGCAGACGGAAACCTGGCCGGACCCGCAGGTGGAGTACCGACCAGCAACCGAGGAGGAGGGGGCCGGGCGGTGCGAGCGGAGAAAAAGAGCGCAAGCGGGGAGGAAGCGTGGCGGACTCACTCACGTGGCACCCAGTGCGTGTACGTCACCGAAAACGCCGGTCACTCACCAAGCAACCGATGGGGGGGAGCCATGGGGGACAAGTCGAGGGCTTCGACCGGTGAAGCATACGGTAGGGCCTTCAGCCAGTGCCTCTGCATCACGGCCCGCACTCACGCGGGCAAAGCCTGGGTGGGGCTATTTCAGCCGACCGCAGGAGAGGGAGCCCACGGAGGCCGCGGGAACCATGGCGCGGTGTAGTGCCCCTTGGTCCAAGGAGGTGGCACAAACCGTGGCCAGAGCCATCCTTTGAGCGGAGACAAATCCTTCAGCCGGTCGACCCTGTCCGTCGCGGGCCGGCAATGCGGCCAGAACCGTGGGTGGGCTTGCACCGGCCGACCGCACGGGCTACACGCCCATGAGAATGTGGGTCTAAAGTAATGATGGGAAGCCACTGCGCATAGCTGGACTTCAAGAGATGGGGCACTTGGAGGGGCCGCGGCCAACGCCTGGGTAAAGCATGACGAGGAGCGGTGGGGAAACGTCTTCAGCGAGTCGACCCGGTTCTCCACGGGCCGGCAACGCGGCCAAAACCGTCGATATGACTATTTCAGCCGACCGCACGGGCTATGGGCCCACGAGGCACGTGGGTGTTTATCGCGGCGGTGGGGGGTGTCTATCACGTAGGGTTACGTGAAGCGTCTAGAGTATCCTGAAGGCTCGCTGAAAGCCTCTTGAACAACCCTTGGGCTCTCAAGGGGCCACCTCGGGGGGCCCAACTAAAATCCGCGAGCGAGATGCCGCGGCATATCGTTCGGGGACGCGTTTGTGGAGCCTCTGGGACGGCTCTTGGGCGCCTTTTGGAGGCTCACTGGTGGCTTCTTGGGTGCTTCTGGAAGCTTGCTGGGGGCGTCTTCACTGGGGAACTCACTGATGTGGTGCAGTGTCCCGTGTGTGTGCAATGTTTTCACACCCACACGTTCGAAGAGGTGTCGCGCTGTCGTCCCGCAATGCTTACCGCGATTGCCTGGTACCGTTGTAACGGAAAATGGCAGGCGGGTCGAGGAGGCCGCCAGAAGCTGTGCAAGGCAGGGCCATAGACCGTGCCATGCGGACGCCCCTGCCTGTCGCTTGATTGGCCTTTGACCACGGAGGCATACGAATCTAGGTTGAGCCACAGGTCCCCCCCAACCACTCTTCCTCCCTTCGAATGAGGCTGGGTCGAAGCACATCCAGAGGAGGACGCTTCCATTCCTCTGCTGTCCCAAAATGAGCCAAAATGACTTGAGCCAACATGGCTACGGAACCACTCCCTCTCCCCCTTATCCTCCTCCTCCTCCTCCTCCTCCTCGCCTTCCTCCTCCTCCTCCTCCTCCTCCTCCTCCTCCTCCTCCTCTATTTCCTCCTTCATCCTCCCCCTCTTGGGGTATATACTCTATGACGGCTTCCCAACCATTCTCTAATCGCTTTGCTTATTCCGCTGGCCCATCTTGCATCACTGGTGCTACATGTGTGTGTGTGTGTGTTCGTGGCGAGCGAAAAGGAGGAGAATGACGAGGAGGGAGAGGGGGGGATGAGGAGGACGAGGTCTCTAGAGGGCTTTTTGTGTCAAGTTGGGGCGAAACTGGTCATGGACAAGGCGCCTCGTTGGGAGTCGCTTGAGGTCTTCTGGGAGGCTTCTCGAGGGCTTCGGAGGAGGAGGAGGCGGATAAGGAGGAAGGGGAAAAGGAAGCGAGGGTACGAGAAGGAGAATCTGGAGGAGGAGGCGGGATCCCTTCGATGGCTGCTTCTGGGATTAAGGTGTGACATGGTAGCGATGCAGAGGAGGGGGGGAAAGGAAAGCTGATTGTACCGTCTTGGTGATCTATTGTAGCGCTCTTCGTTCGAGGATTGAGGTTCGTTGAATCAGGAGGGGGGAGGGGCTTCCAAGCCATTATTCCACTGCGTGCTCCCCCACATGCCTAATCATGGCAACTCGCCTGGGAATCGCTTCTGGATGGGCTGCTTGTCTCCATATCAGAAGAGAGCATCTTGAGACAACGATTGCTCTTCCGCCAGAACCCCCCCTGCCAAAACCCGTCCCCCGTTGCCTCCCGGGATCCGTCCCGTACCACTCGTCCGAGGCGAACCCAACCGTGGGGACACGACGACCCCAGGAGGCCCGACCACGAAAGGCGCCGGGCGGGGCCGCCGTTGCCTCGACGTGCCCCTCCTCCGAGGCTGGATGGCATGAAGGCAACGGCTCCTGAGGCGAACGGGTCCCGAGGACTCCGGGGGCCTTCCCCTGGGGCCGGTTCTTGATCCCGAGTCGCTCACTGGCGGTCCCGAGGCCCGCCGAAGGCCCCGAGGGCCCGAAAACGGCAACAAACTCTCAGGACTCTAGAAGAACAACAAGCTTCATAATCATGATTTCGCAAAGCACCGCGCGGACTCCTTGGATCGGCGCTGAACCTCCCTCAATGGCGCGCGGAGCGCGCCAGGGGCGGCGCCAGGGGCGGCGCCAGGGGCGGCGCCAGGGGCGCCGCCAGAGGCGCCGCCAGGGGGCCCAGCGCCGGTTCAAGAAATCCGCGCGGATCTCCGAAAGATTATGTATATTCCTTGGGCGTTCTTCGAGACCCCTTTCCCTCATTGTGAATTGGAGGATCGCACCGCCTCGTCGATGGATCGGTGGCGCTGGCAATGTATCGGCGACGTCGGCGAGAAAAACATCGGCATCAACAATGCGGCGCCATCGTCCAACCCAATTTACTCTGACCCCATCTGGGAGGCCAAGGTAGGGGATCTACTGACCCGGGTCATTCCAAGTCGTGGTCAGTCGGGTTCTGTATTGCAGGATCCTGCAAGATCCTGCCGGATCCTGCGCGCTAGCCCGCTCCAGTGCAGCCCAGGCCTCGCACGATCCTGCAAGATCGGGCGCTCTGGCTGACCCCCGTCTTGAGGCCCCCGAAACGGGCCCCGAAAGATCACTCTGGCGAACGGCCACTCCTGCGCGCAGCCAGCGAAGGTCCAGGCCGAGCGGCGCGGGCCTCGCCGGGCCCCTCGGCCTGGAGAGGGCCCGACCCCCGGTTGCCAGGCTCCTGGGAGGGGGCGGGCGGGGGCCGCGCCCTGGGCCTGCTGCAGCAGCTGCGTGCCCCGCGGCGCCGCCGCCAGCCGCCACACGTGGCCCTGCAGGGACGCGGCGGCCTGCGCCCAGGGGCACGGGGAGGCGAGGAGGGGGAGGAGGGGCACGAGGGGGCACGAGGGGAGGGGGAGGAGGGGAAGGAGGCGAGGAGGGGAGGGGCAGCACGGGGAGGGCACGAGGGGAGGAGGCGCGAGGCGGGGAGGGACACGAGACCAGGGGGGGTATGGGGAGGAGGGGACGGGGCACGGGGGCCTGCGGCGGAGGCGAGGAGGGGAGGCATCACCGATGAGCAAACCATGGCGTACGCCTAAACTTTCGGAGGTCCGCGCGGACTTCACGGATCGGCGCTGGAGTCCCCCGGCGGCGTCTCCAGCGCCGCCCCTGGCGCGCCCAGGGAGGTGAGCAAACGAACAAACGGACCGCATCCATCGCGCCAGAGATCCCCGAGCCCGCATATGTTGTGGTCGACGGGCTTGGGCTGCCATTGCTTAACATGGAGGCGGCGGGAGAGGATGCGAGGACAGGAATCGGGCGTTCGTTCACGGGGGGAGGCCCCCTTGTGGCACTTTTTGTGCCCGCGGTTGTAGCTTGGGTGGCCGTGCAAGGCCCCTTGAGGAACACCCTCTCTGCAATCCTCGATCCCCTCGTTTAATCTTATGTTGAATCCTCGGGGGACCTTGTCTGTCCCGTCGCGGCCCTACCCGCGTCGAATCCGTGCGGATCCGTGTCGAATCCGCGTCGAATCCACGCCAAATACGCGTCGCGTCCGCATCGAGCGCGCGTCGAGCGCGCGTCGGGCACGAGAAAAGACACAAATGTTTGGGACAGGCGAGGTCCCCCAGAGATGCAACGTAAACTGTCCTCCCGCAACCGAACGTCCCGAGTAGCCAACATCCAAGCGGGAACTCGGGTCGCATCGGAATGTCCGTCATATCGAACTGTATCGGCACGGAGTCGGAATTGAATAGAATCGGCCGTGCCAAGATGCACAGCAATGACATGCAAACACCGGGCCACATCGGACCGTCGGAAAACCGCAGTCGAGCGAGATCTGTCTGGCCGAGATCGAGGTCAAAGCGATCGGATCGAAGTGGTCTCTGGGGGCGGGCGGGCGGGCGGGCGGGCGCAAAGGGGGACCTAAACGTACCGAAACCTCTGACTAAGATTTCGAGGCGAATCCAGCCGTGGCGACTAGGGCTCTCAGGAGCTCGAAACAAGGGAAAACGAGGGAAGGGTAAAGCCATCGTAGGAGCGAAGAGTAGCGGGTCCCCCCTATCCCGCTCCAGAAATCCGCCGATTCCCGCCCCCCTCCCCCTTTTCCCCTCCCCGTCAACGCACCAGGGGACAGGGTAACCCCGCGCCGGTCCAAGATGGCTTCAAGACGGCCTACGAGGCCCATAAGACTGCCCAAGAGTGCTCCCAAAGGGCCACCGAGAGGGCCCTAAGAGGTAAACATCGTCCGATTCCCTTCGGGAGGCATACATCTTCGACATGCACGCCCTTATCGTTTTGACGAATTCCCTGGTATGGGGGTCGGCGGAATGGCGTAAGCCTCTTGAGTCCCTATTCCCAGCTCGGGGAAGCATTGTAGACTTTCTCGCTGGAGGTGGCCCCCCTGGTGGTGGTCGTGGTGTCGCGCCTCATCCCCCCGATATCGACACCTCGTCTGCATCCGAGGGCCGGCCCGCGGGAGGCCCGACCGAAGCAAAGCCCACCCAGGCGCGCTGGCGGGCCGGCGGGGGCCGGCGGGGGCCTGCCCCAGCTCCTCGGCCGGGAGCTGCGAGAGCCGCTGGACCAGCTGCTCCTGGCGGCGCCGCCGGGGGCCCCGCCCCCCTGCTGCCTTGTGGGTGAGGGTGCAGGGTGTTTTCGTTCGCCCCCTCCCCTCCTCCTCCTCCGCCTTCTGCCCCACCTCCGCCTCCTCCAACTCCTCCGTGCTTCTTCCTCCGCCTCCTCCTCCTCCTCCTCCTGGTGAGGCGCGAGTCTTAACTGCCAGGGCGTGGTGAGGCGAAGACCCCTTCCTCCTCGCCCGAAGTCTGTACTACCAAGCCTGAGCCAGCCGAGCAAGCAACGGTTTCCCATCTCAACACAAGTCCGCCACTGCGCCACGTAACTGGGCCCCTCTCCCTCCTCCTCCTCCCCCTCTTCCTCCTCCTCCTCCTCCTCCTCCTCCTCCCCCTCCTCCTCTTCAGATTCCTCCCTCCTCATCCCCTTCTTCGTCCGGCCTCTCTCGGGGATGGTGAGGAGGAACGGGACGAGGAGGGTGGTAAGGCACAACATGGAGGAGCGCGTTCGCGCGCTCTTGGTGGCGCGTTCGCCCTCCCCCCCCCCTGCATGGCGCGCGCGCCCCCCCCCCGTGCTTACCCAAGGAGACCTTCTCACTCCTCCTTCTCATACTCATTATTGTCAGTATTGCTGGAATATTTTTCTCCATATTCCCACATTAAAAATTGCACTTACGGGTTCCCCCTCGGGTCCCTTCAACAATTTCGTGGGTGACCTGAATGTTCGCAGCGTTGGCGCCCCTGCCCGTTCGTGGGAGCCTCGTGGGCGCCCCGTGCGCTGGGTGGGTTTCCCGAAAGTTCGCCATGTTGGTGCCCATGCTCGCCCGTGCGCGCCTCGTGGGCGCCCCGCGCGCTGTGTGGGTTTTCCCGAAATTCCGCCACGTTGGCGTCTGTGCCAGCTCGTAGGCGCCACGTGGGGCCCCGTGCGCTGAGGCGGTTGTCCCGAGGTTTCGCCACGTTGGCGCACGTGCCCCGCTCATGGGTGCCACGTGTACACACTATGGTTGCCCCGCGTAGCTCGCACCACATAGCCTGCACTGCATAGCTCGCACCTCATAGCTCGCACGACATAGCTTGCACACAACATAACTTACACCACATAGTTTGCACCGCGTAGGTATCGCAACATTGCTCACACTGCACATCTTACACCACGTAACTGGCACTGCATATCGTACAAATCATAGTTTGCACGCGGTAGCCTACATCGCATAGCGCACACGACACAACTCACGCAACATAGCTTCCACAACATTGATGACACCATACTGCTTCCATAACATCCGCCACCGTGCCATGAGCACGTTGAGGCGTGGAAGATTGCTAGGTCTGGCCGATCGGGTTTCTGTAATGTTCTATCCCCCCTCCCTCGGGACGCGCTTCCTTGCATGCGCCGCCCCCCCTCCCAGAGGCCCCATATGGGTTGCCGCACACCTTCCTAGCGCACTCCCAGGCGTCCAAGATGCCCAGGAAACCTTCCAAAACGACCAGCGCAAGCCAACAAGGCCGCCAAGATGACCAGATAGCTCACAGACGGCTCAAGGTGACCCCAAGACGGCCCACAAGGCCGCGGAGGCGCCCCCAAAGAGCCTCAAGAGCCTTCCGAAGAGGGCCCCGAGAAACAAACATCATTGATGATCCTGCACAATTCAATGTTCTCGCGCGTTGCCTTTTCGAGCTTCCGACGTCCCGGAACGACCAAGCGGCCACCCAGACTGCAAGGTGCCCCCGAGAGGGCCCCGCCAAGACGGCCCATAAGGGCTCCAAAACGACCCGAGAGGCGTCCAAGACTGCCCAAGAAGGTTCTAAGACGCCCCCACGAAGGGCCAAAGAGGGCAAACACGAACGGGTAATTCGAGCCTTCCGCCTTAAGTGGGCTCTGGAGGCCCCAGAGGGGCCAACGAAGGCCCCCAAGAGGCCCCCAAATGGGTCTCGAAAAACAAGAAAAACAAAAACCGTCGATTGTCTTTAGATTGTTCCTTGCTGTTGGGTTCTCGCCTTCTCGAGCTGCCGACGCTCCGCGACGGCAGCCACAACCGAATTCTAAAATAGCCCAAGACGGCTCCAAGATAGCCTGAGAGGCGACCGCGACTGCCCAAAGACTGACCCAATAATTGTCTAAGGGTGGGAACGCGATACCAGAATTCGAAGCTTCTGCCCCAAGAAGCCCCCAGCAGGCCCCTTTGCCTTCTGGAGTAGTTGCCGCCAAGAATGCCGTGCTGACGCGGTGGCGGAACTGCTGGAGGCAGCTGGACAGCTTACATCATAAACTGCGCAGCTTGTACGGCATAGCTCTCACCTCCACAATGCAATCACTCAGTATTTGGGGCCAGCGCTGGCTAACATCACTGTTCGTCTGATTATGCATGTTCGTCTTTTGGCGGCAACCAACACCTTGGCTCTCAAGAGGCTACTTTTGCTCGCAAACCGACCGGGTAGCTGGTAGAATCGAAACGATCGAATCAAGCCCGATCAGCGGTGGACAATCGAGGAGCATGATCGGATCGATCGATGCCACGCGCAAGCGTCGGCAAGCGTCTTCAAACCGATCGAGGCCCCTAGAAAATGCCCAGGAGGCCCCAAGAAGGCCCACGAAGGGCCCCGAATGAAAAGTGGAAGCCGGGGCCTCAAACCTCAAAGGAGGAGCCTCCCAATACGCGCAAAAACGGGGCGGCCCGAAAAGGCCGGGGCAGGCGGAGGCGGGCCAGCCGACAGGCTTGACTTAGGCCCACCCCCAGACGCCTAGTCTCCGCACGCGCACGGCACTCGGGCACTACGAAATGACCGTGCTAGCCAGAACGAGCAAGTGAGCTGTCAACAGGACAAGAACAGGCACTACACCCGATCGAACACTGCCAACCAGAGCGAGCATGCGAACTGCCACCGAAAAGAACAGACACTACACTCGACCACGCAGACATGAACGAGCACGTGAACTGCAATCACGGGCGAGAACAGATGCTACACTCGTTCACAAACAAACCTCGGGCCTGCCTCCGAGGTGGCGGGCGCTGCGGCGCACGCACAGCACGAAACGAGCAAGTGAGCTGTTGAAAAGGATAGCACAGACACTACACTCGAAGAGCCTGGGGACCAGAACGAGGACGCGAACTGCATCGGGGAGAGCAGACGCAACGCTCGATCAAGCGGGATGCAATCGAAGAGAGAACAGAGACTGATCTCATTCAATCATCGCTCTCCTCGGCCCTGGCACCGAGGCGGTCCGCGCGGCGGCGCGCGCGCCCGCGCTCGACCGCGCTGACGGCGGCCCGAGCGCTGGCAGTCAGCTCGGCCTCGCTCAGGCCGCAAGCCGCCAGGAGGTCCTCGCGAGCCACAGCCCCATCGGCCGCCTGCCGCCGCAGCCGAGGTCTCAGGCGCAGGCTCGCCGCTGGCTCCAGGCGCCCTGCCGCCGCCGCCAGGCGAGGCGTGAGGGCCTGCGGCGGCCTCGGCGCGCAAGCGCTCGGCCTCCTGCCCGCTCGTTCATGCGGCTCCGCTGGGGCTCGCAGCGCTTGCGCCCCCGCCGCCTGCCGCTGGCTGCTCGGCCAAGACCCCGAGCCGCTCCAGGTAGCGCTCCTGGGCGTCCGCCGGCACTGGCCCTTGCCCGCGGGGGCTGGGGGTGGCCTGGTCCTTCTGGCGCTGCTTCGCCGACCTCGGCCTTCTACCTGGGTGGGGCCCGCGCTCCAACAAGCTGCGCTGGTTACGCCCGCTCTTGTCCGTCTTGTCGGCCAGGCAGGGCTCCTTCAGGCGCGGATTGACACCCGAGCGGCCACCCAGCACCATGTAGGCGCCGCGCTTTGTGCACGCCACCAGCTCCTGAGTCTGCTCGCCGTCGCCGCAGCAGGCGTAGCTGAGGGCATGCCCGAGGATGCTGAAGACCGCCGCGCCAGCAGAGAGGGCCGCGGCGCTGCCAGCAGAGCGGGCGCTCTCCAGGCGCGGCCACCTTGGGCTCTGGGCCCTCCTCGGCAGGCGGGGCCTAAGAGTCTGGCAGCGCCTCGGAGCGCACCTGCCGCCGCTCGCCAGCATCTGGAAGGCCCTCACTGTCCTTCTCGCTAATGCCCTGCCAAGTGACCGCGGCCTGGCCAATCCACCGTGCAAGCTCGCCGACCACCTCAACCAGGGCGGGTGTTCGCCGACGGCCTGGCTGTCCACCGCATGCAGCCTGGCCCCCATCTTAGCGAGGCGGTCGGCGTGGTCGTTCCCGCGCCGCTGTGATTTTCTGCTGTTTTCCAGAAGAGCCCCCCCTGGGGCTTCGGGCCACTGCGCTGACCACCCATAAAGCTCCAGGCGAGGTGGTCGCAAACAGTTGTCCTGTTCCATATGGCTCCAAGACGGCCCAAGATGGCCTCCAAAGCGGGCAAATATGGCTCTGCAGTTCGCCCGAGAGTCCAAGATGGTCTCCAAGACGGCCCCATAGGCCTCCTAGATGCCTCCGAGACAGCCCAAGTGTTTGAAAGACTTTGGCATTTGCTTCTTTCTGATTTCCGACGGCCCCATACGGCCTAAAAGGCACCCCAATATCGCCCCAAAGGCTGCCACAAAGATGACCCCATGACGGCCCAAGAAGCCTTCAAGACGGCCCCAAGAGGGCCCCAAAACGGCCCAAGATCCCTGCGAGACGCCCGGCATGGCCTCTAAGACGGCCTTAAAGCGCCCCAAGAGGACCCCAAGTCGGTTCAAAGAGGAATCCAAGACGGCTTCTGACGGCGTCAGACGGGCCAGAGGCCCCCAAGACGGCCCCCAAAGGCCCTCAAAAGGCCCAAGGAGGCTCGCAAGAGGTCTCCAAAAAGGCTCCCAGGAGGCCCCAAGACTGCCCCCCAGAGGCTCCCTTCTCCTCCTCCTCCTCATCCTCCTCCTGATCTTCCCGGCCATCCTCCCCCAAGTGTTACCTGAAGGGTTTCCAAAACGGCTGGCACAACGTTTAGCCTCATGGGCGATTCCAAAAGGCAGGGGGCGGCAGTGATTCGCCGCAGGCGTCTTCGATATAGATGAGAAAAGGTGGTCGAACGGTCTTACACCATCCCTGGAAACGTGGGTCGCGGGTGAAAAAGGACTCCGTGAACCAAGTTGTGATTATGTTGTTTATTGTGTGTGTTTATTCTTGTTGTTTGTTTTTGTCGTCGTCGTCACCACCCGCGACCAGCCGGGGACCCACCAGGGGACCCACCCGAGACACACCCTGCGACCCACCCACGTTGCGTTGACCAAAATATCGGCCGTGCAATGTGTTAATAAACTCGGCACCCACGGTATGCGTTTTCAGAGCCTCGCAGACTGCGACGATCCACGCCGCCCCCCCACTCCTACTCGCAATAGCGGGGTGCCACGTAAACACAGATGACTAGGAAAGTATAGAAATGTGTGTGTACATTTGTAATCTACAGATATGTATAGAGACATCAGTGTATACTTCTGTGCGTGAAGGGGTATCTACATGTACACATGTATGTATGTGTGTATATATATGTATATTTATTTATATGTATACATATATATATATATATGTATGACTGCCAATGCAAACACATGTATCTATATATACACAAATGTCTACATATACACGGATTCAACGTGGGACCACAACGGCAAGACACCAATCATGAGAGAACCACGGGACAAACAAAAAAACAACCACGGGACAACAACGGAACAACCACGCGACAACTACAAGAAAACCGCAAGACGACCGCGGGACAATCGCCCTAAAACAACAATTGGGGCAAAACAACAATAATCGGGCCAACAATCTGGGGAACCGCCGACCACGGGACAAGCCAAAAGGCAATCATCGTGACAACCCCAGAAAAGGCGGCGCGCGCAGAACGCGCAACGCCATCCGACGTGACCTGCCGCCCCGAGTTAGGGCACGATATCGCGTCCTCGCGCAACGTTGCCTCGCCCACCTGCACGTCACGCACGACATGACACCAAATCGAAATCTATGTTCTGGTGGAAGGGGTGTTGCGTGTCACTTCGTTCTCACCCCCGATCCTCCAACCGACTCACGGTTGGGGAGAAAGGGGAGGGGAGGGAAAGGGAGAATGGGGGGGAGGGGTCAGCGGCGGGAGAGGCGGCAGGGAAGGATAATTGGCTGGCTGAGAACTCAGGAGCGCATGCCTAGATGGGCGGCTGTGACAGGAGCGGAGTTGGGGTTGGGTAGGTGCAGGGACCCTCGATTCGCTCCTCCATGGGGGCATCCCTGGGGATTGAACCAGCGTGCTGCATCTACTGCTGCAGCGGCGAGCGGCAGTCCTCGAGCTCGGTGAGCTCGATGACGTCCACAGGCGGACCAGCGGCGGTGGCCTCTCCAAGAAATCCGCGCGAGCAGGTGCTCTAAGAGAAGCGTGCAGGGGTATTAGGGGTATCGGGCCTGATGGAGCCAAGAACGCACGAATACACTGTATATGCCCGTCCTGCGATTTAGCGTACACCTCACCACGACCACAATCAGTCCAAAGGGGTGGCCACAGAACATCGTCGCAGTCTAGAGTAATGTACGGGGTGTCGACAAGGGATGCTGATATAGTGTTCGCAAGGCAACAGGCAGAGCTGGTAACGTCGTACACTTGTCACAGCAATGTACAGGGGCCAGATGGACAATAGCGCGAGCCTGACCCAGGGCAAGTTCAATCTTTGCTCTCGAGCCAAACTGGGTGTTTACGAAAAAACACCTCCATTTTGCCAGTGCAATCGCGAACAACAACGAATGTGCATATATTCGCCACCGTGCTTGAACGGATTGGGCGTGTTAGAATGCTTGGTGTTATCTTGAAAGCTTTGGAAGTAACACCAGAGAAAGCCCAACCAATGGATTTCTTTGATTTCGTTCGCAGGTGCCCCAATCGGCTTTCCTCCCGCCCAGCCGAATTCGAAGATACGTTCTGGCCCAGTCGAGTGACGTATGATACGTATAGATTCTCCTCTCTCTCATTATCTCGCTCTCGCTCGCTCTCTCTCTCTCTCTCTTTATCTACCCTCTCTCTTTCTATATATATATATATATATATATATATACATATGCACGGGAGCCACGCACGCTACGCGCGCGCTTAGGTTCTAGCCGACCGCACAGTCGTTTTTAATAGACCCTGCGTTGATCCACGGAACCCAAAGTACTCAGGGAGAGGTTCCCCAGGAAAAGGCCGCCCTTGCGTGGAGGTGCTGGGCCTGTGGGGGGCTTAAGGCTCGATGGGCGTTCGCGGAACCGTGCGATGACCGACGTGCGACGCGTCGGAAAGCTCCAAATGCTTCCCATGCCACGGTGGCCGAGCAGGGACTGGTGGTGGTGGTGGTGGTCGTCTGTGGACGTGAACGGACGATTGCACGTTCTGATTCTGGGGCGTGTTTTGCTTTTCTGGGGCCTCCGGACTCTGGAGATCTGTGGGGCCAATCTCCTGGGGCGCTCGTGAAATTCGCACAGGCCCCCACGAGAGTTTTTGAGGACAGCCTTCGAAGGGCCCAAAGGGGGGCCAACGGAGCTCCCAGGGAAGTTCCAGAGCCCCAACAATTTAACACAAATTGAACACGCCACCGTCCTTGACGAGGAAGCGGCACGTGTTAAGCTTGTGTCAAGTTTGGGGCCTTTTGGGGGCCGTCTCGGAGCTGTCTTGGGGCGTCTTGGGCGCCTCTAGGGCCGTCTTGAGATTCTCTTAGGCCGTCTTGGGGCCCTCTTGAGGCTCTTGGGCCGTCTCGGGGCGGTCTTCGGGGCCTGTCCTGTTCAGACGTCGTGGAGCGCCGGGAGCTCGAGAAGTCGAGACCTTCGAACACACAGAAAAACCTTTGGAGAATCATTGGTTTTTGTCTCTTGCGGCCGTCTGGTAATCGTTCATTTAGACCTCTTGGGCCGTCTGGGGGCAACTCGGGGCGTCTGGGGGCGTCTGCGGGCCGCACGCCCGCAGACGCCCCCCCGACTCCTACCTTCGGCTTCTAGTGGTCCATTGGTTTCGTCTCTCCTTCTCTTTCCCGAACGTGCTGCCCCCCCGCGGATCTGCGCCATCCCGGGCCATCCCTGGCACCGCTGCCCTGGTCAGGACGGCTCAGAACGCCCTCGAGGGAACCAACGAGGACCACAAGGTTTCCAACGACGATCCCCGATGGACCTGGACGTCAGGACCACGGAGAGGCCCACAGAAGCCACCACGGACAGGCCCAAAGGGGCGCCAAGGGAGCTCCCACAACGCCCACCGAGCCCCAACAATTTGACACACATTTCACACAACACCGTCCTTGACGAAGAAGTGCCGTCTGCTAACTTTGTGTGAAATTGAAAGACCCTCTTGGGGCCATCTCGGAACTCTCTTGGGTAACGGAAAGAACGAGGTACGAGTGATGACGTTCAGGTGGGGCGAAGCCCTAAAGGAAGGGCTTCCACGGGAAGGACCAAGAGCGCGGACACCGGATGTAATGGGCAGCTTTCCTCGTATTTGTTCGAATGAACAGGCTTCCAGGCGGCTCCAATGGCCAGTTCTTCGCATTTGCGGCCAAGGGCTCCAAGACGGCCCAAGAGAGCCCCAAAACAGCCCCAGAGGGCCACAAGACGGCCCTAAAAGATCCTCAGATGGCCTCCAGACGGCCCAAGAGAGCCTCAAGACGGCTCCGGAGGCCCTCCACAGGGCCCCTGAGAGGGCCCCCAGGGGCAAAACACATTGCTTGTTGTATGCTTTTGGGAGGTGTTTGGGGTTCTTGCTTTTTCTGGCCAACAACGGTTCAAAACGGCCCAAGAGGCTCCAAAGATCGTCCCAAGACGGCCCCAGAGGCCCCCGAAAGGGTCCGAAAACAATCCCAAAGGGCTCCAAGACAGCCCCAGAGGGGCCCAAAACAGTCCAAAAGAGCTCCAAGACAGCCCAAGAGGGCCCCAAGACGGCCCAAATTGAGCCCCAAGAGGACACAAAGAGGCTCCCACGAGGGCCCCAAGAGGCCCCCGAGAGTCCCAAGACTGCCGATGGCCTCCAAGACGCCCCAAGACGGCCCAAAAGGGCCCCAAGACGGCACCCAAGAAGACCTGACAAGGCCCAAGAGACAATCAAGAACACCGTGACTCCCATCAGCGAGCGGTGACGTAACAAGCTCTTGACACCAAGGCTCCCAAGAGCGAGCGGCAACGTAAAAACCTCGGAACACCAGGACTCCCAACGGAGAGCGGCGACGTAACGAACTCTTCACACCAAGGCTCCCAAGCGCGAAGGTGACGTAAAAAGCTCGTCACACCAAGGCTCTCAAGAGCGAGCGGCAACGCAAACATCTCTCAGCACCAGGGCTCGTGGTGACGTAACAAGCTCTTCCCACCAAGGCTGCCAAGAGCGAACGGTGACGTTACAAGTTCGTGCACACCAAAGCTCCCAAGAGCGAACGGTGACGTGAATAACTCTCAGCACCAAGGCTCCCAAGAGCGAGCGGCAACGTAAAAGTCTCTGATCACCAAGGCTCCCAAGAGCGAGCGGTGACGTAACAAACCCTCATCACCAATTCTCCCAAGAACGAAGGGTGCCGTGAGCGCTCTCGGGCAAATTCTTGGTCCGCTGTATCCGTTTCCGTGCGGGCCCAGGTGTCTTGGGCGCGTCTAAGGACGTCTGAGGATTCTATTGGGCCGTTTTGGGACCCTCGTGGGGCCCTCTTGGGATGATGGAGGCCTCCGAAGTGGGGTTCGAGTAGGCCGCCCCACATCACCGATGCATCAGTCGGCGGTGCATCTGTGCCGTCAGCGTCAAAAACATCGGCCTGCACATCGAACCGCATCGTCGATGCATCGCCGACGTCGGCGGTGCATCTGCGCCTTCGGCGTGGAGAACATCTGCCTCCTCATCGAGCCGTATCGCCTATGCATCGGCGATGCGGCGTGACTCTCCGATCCCATCTGCTTGGACCCCACCAGGCGGGCCTGGAGACGATGTTTTCGTACAGCCATGCTGGACCCTTGTCTAAGAGGGTGCCTTCAGAGACGCGGCCATACGGTATCTGGTCCGCGGGACCCCCGCGGATCCCGTGGAGAGACCCGGCGATGCCTCACCGCAATCGTGTCGACCTTCTCCCCCAAATACTGCAATGTGGCACGCCCGGAATGGGTACGGAAAAATGGGTACGATGCCCAACAACAAATGATTTCCAACACCCGCAGCGGCCGCTTTGGGCATGGCAACCTCCTGCCTCAAAGGGGCAACGTCCGCAGCGACACCGACAACGAATCCTGTCCCGAATAGACGTGGGATCCCTTTCTTTCCGTATCAAGTTCAGTGGCAAAAAGTAAGGATACCGGAGAAACACCCCAATCCAAATGTTTGTTAGGGCTATAGGGCTATAGGGCTATAGGGCTGTAGGGCTAAAAGGTTATGGGGCTACAGGGTTATAGGGCTACGGGGTTATAGGTTTATCGGGCTATAGGGCTATATGGCTACTAAGGCTATAAGGCTACGGGTTATAGGGCTATAAGGCGATAGGGGCTATAAGGCTATAGGTCTATAAAACTATAGGGCTGTAAGGCTACCGGGTACCCGGGCACCCAGGCACCCGGGCGTGCCGCTGAAATCGGCGCCGTACCTCACCTAACCATATGAATAGAGGCAGGCTCTGATTGGGGAATGACACTTGCCATATGCCCAATCATGAATTGCTCTGGACGTACGGGTCCTGAATTGAAGCGCGCCCTGGAACCCAGGTCCTCCCCCAAGACAAATCCTAAATTCTGAATTAGGTTCAAGGAATTCTGGGGCCCGTGG